CCTCCTCTCCTTCCTTCCTTCCTACTATATATATATATATATATATATACACACCTCCCGCTTTTCCCTTCCCAATCTTTCTTCCCCGACTCGTAGCCAACGGCGTGTCGCTCGTTCCACGCATTAACGCGAGATTTATACGTTGGACTCCTTGGACGATATCGCATTTACATTTTTGTCGCATCGCTATAAACCACCTACGTACCTACCGACCTACCGACGTACATTCCGCCACCCCTTATCATCCCTTTATCAACGTTTTAATCGTCCCAACGATCCCCCTCCCCGTCCCTATTTCATCGAGAAGAGAAGAATCGTTCTTCTTACGTACGTACATACGTACATTTTGCGCCGCTCGTATTTCTCTCTCTCTTTTTCCTTTTTTTTTTTTTTTCTCTTTTCGTCGAATAGAGCGGAACACGGAGTTTCGTCGTGTCCGATAGGATGGAAAAAATAGATAGATAGATAGATAGATAGATAGATAGGGGGGTACGTCAACGGGGATCGAGCAATTGCTATCGTTCCGCGCGCATAAACGTGTGCAAGCGTGTGGCAGGAGGAAGAGGGAGGGTAGGGAGAGAGAGAGGGAGAGGGAGCGAGAGTGGGAGAGATACATGGCGGCAGTATGTTACACGTGTTACCGGCCGGCACGTACGGGTTACGTCCGGCAGTCAATCGCTCTAATACTCGCACTTGGCGCGCCACGTTGCGTATACCGGCCACTGGACCGCTGTTAACCGCCGCGCATCCTCTCTGGATCCTTTCTGCTCGCTCGATTTCCTTATTTCGACTCGCCTATTTAAATCGTCGACAAATTCGACCGATTTTCTTTTTTTTTCTTTTCTTTTTTTTTTTTTCCACTGATACGTCATTTAATGCGAATACGAAGCTGTTTGTCGATACCCGGATTATTTGGGATTCATTCGTGGCCGCATTTATTCCGTTCGGAAAAATTGTCAATAAGTCGAAATTCTTATTCCTTTTTCGGTTAATCGATCGATCGCAATGCTGTATACGACTGTTTTATATATGCGAAAAATTGGTATTTAGGCGGCGTTAAATTTTATACTCGGATTCGTCGAAATAATTGTGGAAACATTCTTTCTTCTTCAAAGCTTGCTATCAGATGGCGGTAAATTTGAATAACATCGATCGTTAAATTTTTATTGCAACGGTATATATTTATGCGAAAATTGATATTCAAGTAGCGCTAAATTTTAACTTGATTCGTCAAAATTTCTTCTTCAAGATCGAGATTTATATGGCGTTAAATTCGAATTATTACGCTTTCAGAATCGACGATTCCGATTGATAACAGGGCTATGCAAATCCATTTCCGATATATTTTACGCCATTTAAATAACCTTTCGAAGGAGTAGTAGGCGCAGGTCGGGCATCGGAGTCTGGCGCGGTATCGCAATCGCTTTGCCGAGGCGTACATCACGGACGTCCAGGACGCTCTGCTCTGAGTTATGCTCGACAATTATACCTATCTACCTGCGCGGTGGGCGTTATTATCATATTATACCGTGTTACCCCTCGCTCGCGTCCACCAACGTCTGCGAGACACGCATGCACATGAATCCAAGTCCAGCTGACATTGCGGAGCATTGTCGAGGCTCGCAGCCCGACGATAAACGATCTTGACGCTCCTCCTTCCCGAGAAAGTGCCCCATTTTTACAATTACTCTCCACTGCGAATATACAATCCTGTTTCGTATACACTGTTTACCAATTTATGAATGTCCAATTATTTAAAATATTCTATCTTCTAGGGAAAATCGATATTCCATGTATTTAAAGATTCGTCGCGCCTAATTAACAACTCCGATCCTCTCCCCTCGAAAACTCGTCGGTTAATCGTATCGCAAGCGAGTCGATCGAGGTGGAAAAGAAGCTGGAAAGCTTTCGAAGAGGTAGGTAGGTAGACTCGCGGACGGGCATCGATCGGCGCGTGTCCCCCTCGGGTGACCGGGCCTCGAGCCAAAGCTCGTGCGCTCTGCGGGACGGCTGTGAAAAATCCCTGAATTATGATAATGGTGCCGACATAATGCGATCCAATGAGGCAATCAAGGGGTGGCAGTGGCGTCGGCAACGAAACACGTTGGCCGCCCACGATATCGATGCCGGCCGTCCGTGCCGATGCCTGCGCCCCCCGATATCGGTGCCGATGCTCCACCGATACCGAGCCCGCGAGTTACGCATCCCGGAATCGTATTAACGTTGCTGGCCACCGAGCCGAGCCGATCCGAACGAGCTCGCGCCCGATCTATGTGCCGGCCACGATACAATACGCGTACAATACGGGTATAATTGGCGTTGGGCTGGTGGGCAGCAGTTGCTCTAGGAGCAACCGTTCCCATCAATCACCGCCGCTAAACAGTCAAGCGCGAATCACTCCTCCCCTGTTCGATACTCTAATTGCTCGAGCGGCCGAGATTTTCTCTTGTTTTATTCCTTTTCTCTCTCTCTCTCTCTCTCTCTCGCGAAAAAGGATTTTGGAACGAGGACGGGAAGACTGGACGGATGATGGGTGGAGAAGAGGAGGAGGGTGGAATAATGTTATGCGGATACGTGTGAGGGAGAGAGAGAGGGAGAGACGTTCGAAAGCAACGTCTATCGCTCGATAGAGACGCGCGCGCGCGCGTGCACACGCACGCGACACCTACGGTGACGCTCGTTGATGGAACGGGACGCCATGCGGTAGTTATGGGACCACGAGGATGTTAATGACCATAAACAAGCAATCACGGTAATCCGCCATGAGTCACTCGGACTGTCCGGGTGACTACGTTGAGATACGACGTGCCATATGCCCGGCGAAACGGGTTGCTGCAGTTGAATGCAACCAGCCACCCCTCCCCCGATATTTCCGTGTACACAACGATAAACAACGAAGCTCCAACATTCTTCCTTTCATTCTTCCCTTCGAATAAGAGAAAAGGAAGAGAGAGAGAGAGAGAGAGAGG